GTTTTGAGCAGGAATTTTGGGGCTCGTCCCTTTTCCTGCTGCTGTGAAGTTTCAGAGCAAACCCCTCACAYCCAGGATCCTCCAAGCTCATTTCCCATTTTTTAGCGGAATTTTGGCTTTTCCACCTTTCACCACTTCACCCTCACCCAGCCTCCCTTCGTTAGGGGATAATTAGCGGTCATTTCCAATTAACCCTTGAGCCACCACCCCCCTCATTAAGGGATATAAGCGGTCATTACCAATTAACTCTCGAGCCGCCGCTCCCCTCATTAAGGATAATGAGTGGTCATTACCAATTAACCTTTGAGCCGCCAGGCCCCTCGCTAATGGATAATGAGCGGTCATTACCAATTAACCCTTGAACCGCCACGCCCTTCATTAAGGATAATGAGCGGTCATTACAAATTAACCCTTGAGCCGCCGCTCTCCTAATGAAGTGATAATGAAGAGGTCATTACCAATTAACCCTTGAGCTGCCACCCCCCTCATTAAGGCATAATGAACCAGTCTCCACACGGGCTCACCAAGGAACATTTATCCACGAAAATCCATGGCGGGACAATCTGGACGAGCACACGCAGACACGGACGGACGGAGGGGTTGGGTTTCCTCTCATTTGGGACGTTCCCATGGGAAGAACTTCCCGGAAAGCTCCTTCCGGCTGCCACCACCCCAAATCCCGAATTCCCGGCCCCTGGCTGGGGTCCAGTGGGGTCGGGAGCACCCTGGGACAGTGGGAGGGGTCCCTGCCCATGGCAAATCCCAGCCCTCGGGACACCCAGGGCCGCATCCCAAACCCCCGGGATTCCAGAGGGATTGGGGACAGGGATGCAGGAAAAGAGGAGGTTTAAGGTGAAGGAGGGAGGAGCTGGATGGGATTTTGGAATTGGGAATTCCTGGCTGGGAGGGGCTGGGATGGAATTCCCAGAGCACCTGTGGCTGCCTCTGGATCCCTGGCAGTGCCCAAGGCCGGGCTGCAGCACCCTGGGACAGGGGAGGTGTCCCTGGGGTGGCCCTGGATGGGATTTAAGGTCCTTCCCACCCAAACCATTCCCTGTGTGCTCCCAGGTGGACACAGAGCAAACATCCCATCTTTTGGGATGGCCTCGATCCTAAATCCTCATCCCTAYCCCTGCCTCCATCAATAACTCAGCACTGGAGGGTGAAAGGGACAACCTGGATTTGGGGGATTGCACTGAAATCCCATTTGCAGAGAACATTTTGGGTTTTGATCCCATKGCCCATTCCCATCATCCCAAACCAGCCCCGCTGCCCTCACCCAGGTCACAGCTCGGGGAATTCTCCCCCTTTATTTCCAGAGCTCCTTTGCCCCGGGAGCTTTCCAGGCTGCCAAGTGTCCGCTTGGATCGCAGTCTGCGCTCGTTCCTCGGGGTTATCCCGGTCCTCCCACTGAGATTTCCTCAGAGCAGCCTTCTGTCACTCCCTGCAGTCCGACCCCGATGACACTGCGGTC